GTTGTAGTGCAGAAAAGTCTTCTCATTCTTGCTGGAATAATACTCAGAGGCAGAGTTTCAGAAGTCACAATGAGACTTTAGTGGACAAGACAATGAAGCCAAGATGCCAGCTGACCATCTGAACTGATCTCGTTCCAAGCTTCCATTCTTATACAGTTTCGTTATAAGTCACTGTCCAATAAGCTTATAGGTCACCTTTTTTATGTTATTCCCCTTGCTTTCCACAATTTTTTTATTGGCTCTATCGATTCTTCTTTAATTGGGTGATTTTACCCACGGGTCTGTTTTTAATTTTTAATTTTCTGTTTTCCCACTGGTCTGTTTTTACTTTTTTATTTAACCCTCTCCAGGTGCCCAGAGGCATATTACCGTACATATGAGCTGTCAAAGTGTTAATAATCTTTGTGGGCAGTGTACACATTATTCATTCTCGAATCCTTCATACACAATCTCAGTCACATAGGCCGTGAGGCCTTTAAAGTGCATCTGACTTTTATGATATCAAAACAATGTTATAAAGTGTGTTATAATGTATCTCTCTCATAATGACAAAATGCATTATTTGTAGTTTGTCACTTTTTTTTACGTGAGTTTTTCAGCTTTTTTCAAATTATGTCCATGCTAGGTTGACGGACTTATCACTACGTAATAATCATATAGGAGAGGAAGGAGCTCGTCTGATTGGCTCGGCTCTGTCCACTGTACACTCTGCCAACAAAAACCTCCTGTCCCTCAACCTAGCCTTTAATAGTATTGGTGATGCAGGTGCAATTCACATTTCTCAGGTGTGTAAAATTTAACTCTGTCCATCTGAAGGCATTCAGACAGTTTCTAATGATGTCATGACTGCATATACTTAAAACCGAGTTTTTAATACCACCCATCCCTCTTTTAAAGGGTCTGCGTCTCAACCGTTCATTGCTGTGTCTGTCATTATCCTACAATCAAATAGGGGATAATGGAGCAGCTCATTTGGCTGAGGTATACATATATACTCCTATTAACAACTTCATTTTATCGGCCTTACTCTGCCTAACTTGACACATTAAACATGTTTATTTCCATGCATCTTTTTCTAATATCCTTATTTAGGTGCTTGGCCCCTTTGCTCTGACACATGAGGAGATAGTTGAAAGGAGGAAGCTGTTAATTAAAGGTGAAGAATCAACAATGGTCCAG